CCCCGGAGTCGGGGTGCAGCAGCCCGGAGCGARACCCGCCCCCTGGCGGCCTCTCAATGCCTTGCGGACCTCTGGCCCAGAGAAGGACTGGACCCTCCACCCCTCTGAGACAGGTCAGGATCCCAAACCCTCGGGACAGGACCCCCCACCCCTCTAGGACAGGGCAGGACCCCGGACCCTGGGGCAGGGGGACACCTTCCCACAGGGGAGGACGAGATCCAAAACCCTTGGATGGGACCACCAGCCCTGGAGCAGGACAGGACCACCCTCCCYACCCCGTCCACCCTTCCCAGCAGCCCCGCGCATCACCTGCGTCCCGCGTGGTGGCCACAGCCGGTGTCCGGCCAGGCTGGTGGCTGCAGGTGACGCCGTCCGGCCACACGTGTCCGGGGCTGACTCACGGCGCGGGACCGCGGGCGCGGGGCTGATGCAGCGGGAGGGACCCGACCCCCACTTGTGCAACACCCCCTTGGGGACAGCGGCTGCATCCTCCGGGATCGGATGTCCCGGCGGGTGACACCGGCACGGCCCGTCCCCAACTAGCTCCGCACCGGGCAGCCAAAAATACCCGCGAGCCTGAAAATAGCCCGAGAGCGTAAACAGCGGGGGGGCCTGGGGGACCCCCGGGCCGGGGCCGGGCAGCCGGGACACTCGCGGGGTAGGGACAGAGTCCAGGGGATGTCACACCCGGGGAACACAGTGGCCCCCGGCAATGGCCCCAGTGACCCTGCCAGGACACACGTGTGTTTCCGCAGCGACACCTGGGTCACCCGGGGACTCCCGCGACTCCGCATGAGGACACGGGACACCTGCCCGTGGGGACACGGCGGGGCGACACCCCCGTGGGGACACGAGCCCCAATGGTGACACATGTCTGCGCCGTAAGAACACGGACGGGGCTCGTCAGTGACCCCCGGGAGTGACCCACGGTCACACGTGAAGGCACGGGCACCCCCACGGCTGCAGGAGACACATCTGCCCCAGTGTCCCCGTGTCCCCCGGTGGGGGTGCCGGGGCAGCGGCCGAGCTGAAGGACCCCGCGAAGGAGCGAGGTGACCCCGCACAGGGGACAGCGGGACTCTGCCACCCCGAGACCTCCTTCGCCGTCCCTGCTCACCTGGCCGCTCGGTGCCGGCTCGGTCCCCGCTGTCCCCGCCGCTGCCGGACGCTCACGGGGCCCCGCGCTCACCCCGAGTCCCGCCGCCGGCCATGGCCACACCGGCAGCGGCCCCCGGCGATCGGCGGGAGTCGAGGGGGGCCGGTGTGCGGTCCGAGCTCCGCTGCAGAGTCCCGGTGCAGGTTCGGAGGGTCCGGAGGCAGCCCGGGGAGGAGCGGGGGTGCCGGGACCAGGGTTTGGAGGGCTCGGGCGCGGAGCCCGGGGAAGGGCCCGAGGTGCGGGAGAGGGACCGGYACGGGTCGGGGCCGGCGCAGGGCCCGAGCGCGGTGTTGGGGCTCCGCCCGCCCGGGACCGCCCCCGGGCCCTCCCCGGGCCCGCCCCTGTGGCCCGGTACCGCCCCCGGTGCCGCCCCGGTTCCGCCCCCGGCCGGTGCCGCCATGCCGCTACCGGTGTTGCTGCTGAGGGCAGCKGGTGCTTGGACCCGGCTCCGACTGCCCTCCGCCCCGGGGCACAGGTACCGGGGCCGTGAGGGGCGTCCCGGGAGGGCCCCGGATCCTCGGGTCCCTTGGAGCGCGGGAACCCCAACTCTTCTGTGGGAGGAGTCCAGACCTGGGGGTCCCGGGGGTGCGAGTCGGGCTGGGGGGGGGTGTCGGGGATCCCGGGGAGTCGGGGGGAGGGGGCCCCCAGACTCCTGGATCCCTTGGGTGGGGGGAATCCCAGCTATTGCTGAGGGGAGCCYAGACTTTGGGGTCCCGAGGGTGCAGGGAGAGCTGCCGGGAGTCCACGGGAAGGCCGGGGCTCCCAGGGGATTTAGGGGTACGTGGGCGTCGCGGAGCAGCGGGCCGGGGACAACTCGTGGACAGGTACTGGGGAGCCCCGGGCAGTCCCGGACTCGTGGGTACCTTCGAGAGGACGATCCCATCTCTCGGTGCGGTGCGGTATGGGGAGCTCGGACTCTGCAGTGTTTGGGGTGTCCCGGGGAGGTTTCCAGACTCACGCGTCCCTTGGCTGGTGGGGGCACCTGCGGAGCCAGGACTCTGGGATTCCAGGCGGTCCTAGGAGAATCCTGGACTCCTGAATCCCTTTGAGGGAGGAACACAACTCTTGGTGGGGAGAGCTGGGACTCTGAGGCCCCTGGGGGAATCCGTRAGGGCTTCCAGGGGGTAGGGGCTCCCGGGGAGCAGCAGGAGCAGTGTGGGGTCTCCCTGCACTGGACAGTGGGGGACCGCTGCCCCTCAWGAGTGCCCAGATTCCCTGGTATTCCCCCGGTTGGGGCACCCTTCACTCACCCCTCTCCCCAGTTTCAGGTATGGGGGGCGCCTGGGGCTGGCCAGGCTCCCCCGGCTGCCCCCCACGCCCCCGGCCCTCCCGGCCCCCCGTCGCCTGCTCCTGGCCGGCTCGGCCACAGGCTGCGTGGTGCTGGGGCTGCTGGGCACGGCTGCGCGCTGCCAGGAGGCCGCTGTCTCCGCGGTTCCCGCTGGTGTCCCTGATGCTCCCGAGCCTGCAGAGTCCCCCACGGAGCCCGTCTTTGACTGGCCGCTGTTCTGGACCTTCCTGCGCCCGCAGCTCCTGGCACTCTCTGCTGCCATCGTGGTGAGCAGGGGCGAGTCAGTGGCTGTGGTCCCCCTCGTCCCCACCGTTCCTGCGTGACACCTGTGCCGTGGGGTGATGCACTCTCCTGGTGCCATAACACGATGGCCACTCTCCCATTGCCATGGTATGACACCTGCCATCCTGGTGCATGTCACTGGCTGTCACCGTCCTGGTGCCACAGCGTGATGGCCACAGATGGGGTGYACTGGTGTCACACCCCCTGTTCCCATGCCGTGGTGTGACAGCCGCTGTCCTGGTGCCATTGCATGATACTTGTCACCTATTCTGGTGCTGTGGTGAGACATCTGCTCTTCCAGTGTCACAGTGTGACAGCCACCATCCCAGTGCTGGCACATGATAGCGACTGTCCTGATGCCATGGCATGACTCCTGCTCTCCCAGTGCTGTGGTGTGACACCCACTGTCCCAGTGCTGTGCCAGGCCACCAGCTGTCCCGGTGCCATGGCGTGACACCCTCCATCCCACCGTCCCAGTGCTGTGACCCAACTGTCRCTGTCTGTGTCCCTGCAGCTGGCTCTGGGCGCGGCCCTGCTCAACGTGCGCATCCCGGTGCTGCTGGGGCAGCTGGTGAATGTGGTGGCCCGGTGTGCCCGCGGCCACATTCCCACGTACCTGCGGGAGGTGCGGCGCCCAGCCCTGCGCCTCCTCACCGTCTACTGCCTGCAGGTGGGTGCCAACCCCCCAAAAGGGTGGGTGGAGGGTCCTGGGTGTGCCCCCTGCCCCTCCTGACTCCCCTGTCTCACAGGGCCTGCTGACCTTCGGGTACATTGCACTGCTGGCCCGCGTTGGCGAGCAGGTGGCTGGCAACATGCGCAAGGCGCTCTTCAGTGCCCTGCTCAGGTAACCCCAGCAGGGATGGGGGAGGGGAGAGATGGGGGTGCAGGAACCCCCACCCGCTGTTTCCCYGACAGGCAGGAGGTGGCTTTCTTTGATGCCACACGTACGGGGCAGCTGGTGACACGGTTGACAGCTGACATTCAGGAGTTCAAGTCTTCCTTCAAGCTGGCCATCTCCCAGGTGAGCCCGGCCATCTCCTGGGTGAGCCTGGCCATCTCCCGGGTGAGCCCAGGCAAACCTGGTGGTCCCCCATGTCCCCCCCCACCCACCACACCCTCCACCGCAGGGCCTGCGCAGCGGCACCCAGACCGCCGGCTGCTTCGTGTCGCTGTACCTGCTCTCGCCCAAGCTCACAGGGCTCCTGCTCGTGGCACTGCCAGCGCTGGTGGGCGCYGGGGCCTTCATTGGCGCTTTCCTCCGCAACCTCTCCCGCCAGGCACAGGARCAGGTAACCCTCACCCGAGACCCGCCCCGTCCTACCACCTCCAAGCCAACAGTGCGGGGTGTCYCCATTGTCCCCCTCTCCCTGCAGGTGGCCAAGGCCACTGTGGTGGCCGACGAGGCGCTGGGCAATGTGCGGACAGTACGCGCCTTCGCCATGGAGGAGCAGCAAGCACGGTAAAGGGAAGGGTTGGGGGCCTCAGGGTGGCAGTGGCAGTGGGGGACAGTGGGGACCCCAGCCCGTCCCTGCCCCAGGCTGTTCTGTGTCGAGGTGGACCGTGCCGGATATCTGARCGAGCGGCTAGGGCTTGGCATCGCCGCCTTCCAGGGGCTCTCCAACTTGGCACTCAATGGTGAGCAGAGGCCACAGAGTGGCATCTGGAGGGCTGTGGGGTGGGGACTCCCTTGGGCAGGATCTCCACCAAATGCCCCTTCTTAATCTCCCCCCTTCAAATGCTGCCTCTGTCTCCACGCCRCAGGCATCGTCCTGGGAACCATCTTCGTCGGTGGCTCCCTGATGGCTGGAGATGAGCTCTCGCCTGGTGACCTCATGTCCTTCCTGGTGGCCTCGCAGACAGTGCAAAGGTCAGGACAGGGCCCAATGGTACCCCCAGTACCCCTGACACACCCTGTACCCTGCAGCCTGCCTGGGCACAGCCCTGAGCTCAACCTCTGTCCTTCTGCATCCCAGGTCCTTGGCCAACATGTCCATCCTTATGGGCCAGGTAGGTGGGGTGGGGGGTCCTGGCACGCCCTGAGGCTGGGGATCCAGGTTTGGGGCCTCGGGGGTGTTTTCGCCATCCTCCCTGTGGGTGCTGTGGGGTCTGAGTACCAGTGAGGTGGGCTATGGGGGTCCATGAGGTGCTCCTGCTGTCCCCCCAAAGGTGGTGCGAGGTCTGAGCGCTGGTGCCCGCGTCTTTGAACTGCTGACACTGGAGCCCTCTGTGCCACTGCACGGGGGAGACTCCATCCCTGCCCACTCCCTCCGCGGACGCATCTGCTTTCACAAAGTCTCCTTCAGGTGAGCCCCACCAGCCCCGTGCCTGGCCCCCTATGGCCCCCTGAGCCACCCCTTTGGCTGGGATGTTGGCACCGTGCCCCCACAGACCCCACAGCCCTGCTCCTCTCCCTGCAGTTATCCCACCCGGCCTGGCTACCCCGTCCTGCAGGACTTCAGCCTCACCCTGCCCCCCTACCAGACTGTGGCCATCGTGGGGCCCTCTGGAGGAGGTACCAGTACCCCCCATAACCAGGGATCTCCATGTCCCAGCCCCTTGCCTCTCCCTGGGTGCATTCTCCTGCGCCCCAGTCCTCTGTCCGGTGTGCCCAGCGGATACCAGGGACTGGGAGCCCCCAGTGCTGCTGAAGCCGGGGGTCCGCAGCGGGAGGGCTCAGGGGTCCCCTCCACAGGGAAGTCGACGGTGGCGGCGCTGCTGGAGCGGTTCTACGAGCCCACGGCAGGGACCATCACCCTGGACGGGCGTGACATCGCCAGCCTGGACCCCTCCTGGTTGCGGGGGCAGGTCATCGGCTTCATCAGCCAGGTGGGGACAGGGGTGGTGCCGGTCAGGCCGCCCTGGCTGTCCCTGGAGGAGGAAGCCCATCCCGGCTGGGCTCAGCGCTGAGGGCYGGGGTTTTGCTGCAGGAGCCAGTGTTGTTTGGCACAACCATCATGGAGAACATCCGCTTTGGGAAGCCAGAAGCCTCTGATGCCGAGGTGTACGAGGTCGCCCGGCTCGCCAACGCTGACGACTTCATCCGCAGCTTCCCTGAGGGCTACGACACCATCGTGGGTATGGCCGGGATGGGAGGGGTTCRGGCAAGTGTGGGACCCCAGCTGAGGTGATCCCAGTCCTGCATGGACACTGGCTGCTGGTCATTGCCAGTATTCAGCTGTGCCGGAGGGAGCTGTGGCCACACCGAGCTCTGGGCAGGAGGGATAGGGTTCGGATGTGGGGGATCCCTGGCTCTGGGTCAGGGCTTCTCCCCAGGCTCATGTGGCTCTCACATTCTGGGGGGGGGGTTCCCTGGCTGTGGATCGGGCGCTCTCCTGGGATGGTGCAGCACCGCTGTGCCCGCGGTGTCTCCGCGGTGTCCCGCAGGTGAGCGTGGCACGGCGCTGTCGGGGGGGCAGAAGCAGCGCATCGCCATCGCCCGCGCGCTGCTCAAGGACCCGACCGTGCTCATCCTGGACGAGGCCACGAGCGCGCTGGATGCGCAGGCGGAGCGGGCAGTGCAGGAGGCTCTGGACCGTGCAGCCAGCGGCCGCACCGTGCTGCTCATCGCCCACCGCCTCAGCACCATCCGCAGCGCGCACCTCATCGCCGTGTTGGCCCACGGCCGTGTGGTCGAGGTGAGACACGGGRCGGGGTGGGGACGGGGTGGCGACTGGGCACCTGGAGGTGATGCCGTCCTGCTGTCCCCGCTGTCTCCACAGGCAGGGACTCACGAGGAGCTGGTGCGACGGGGGGGTCTCTACGCCGAGCTCATCCGACAGCAGACCAAGGAGGGGTCTTGAGGGGGCTCCCCCACTGTTCCCCAATAAAGCGGGGGTGGAAGGCGGACTGGGAGCTTCTTTTTTTGGTGGAACGTTGCGCCGGATCCTCCGAGCCGCTCGAGGGCGCCTTTGGCACCAGGGAGAGGGCGGTGTCCAGGGGGCGGGGCCGAGGGTCAGTGACGTTTGGTTTGTGGGCGTGCCTGTGGTGCTGGCCCCCCGCCCCTTCCCCTCCCCGCGCTGCCCACCGAGCGGGGGGAAGGGGGACTGTCCCTGTGTCACCCCCTGCTTGGTGTGAGCCTCGCCCCCCTCCCGAGACGCGGGACCCCTGTGTGACCCTCTTGGGGTGAGGGTTCTCTGTATGACCCTCGGGCTAGGATGTCCCACGTGTCACCCGTGGAGTGTGGGACCCCTATGACATTCCCGAGCGAGGAAACGATGGAACACCCCCTGGGGAAGGAGGGGTGGAACCCCTGCTTAACCTCGGGATGGGGCACCCCTGCATTCTCCCCCGAGATGGAGGAGCCCCTGCGTGACGTTTGTGATCGGGGACCCGTATATTAACCCCCAGGACGGGGGGTCCATGTATCACCTGGGAATGGAGGAGCTTCTGGATGACCGCTGGGATGGGGAGACCCCCGTGTGACCCCCCCGCTGGAATGAGGGAGGTCACCTGTGTGTCCCTCCAGGGTGGGTGCCCCTGTGTCACCCCGGGAGTGGAGGGACCCGGTGTCATCTTTCTGGGATAAGGGACCCTCCGCATGACTCTGGGATGGGGGACCCCTAGAATGGGGATTACTYCTACATGACCCTACGGGATAGACTGTGCCACCTCTACAGGTAGGCGACCTTTGTGTCACCCCCCCACCCCGCCATGTGCTGTCACCCCTATGTGACCCCGTGGGATAGGATCAGCCCTGCATGACTCCCGGGATGGGCAATCCCCTGGAGGGTCCCCTGGATCAGCCTTAGGATGGGAGACCCCTGTATCACCCCCGGAGTGGGGAGACCCTGTGCGAGCTTTCTGGGGTGAAGGCTCCACTGCATCACACCCCGGGGTGGAGGAACCCCTGTGTGACCCTGGGATGGGGGGACCTCTGTGATTGTCGGGCTGGGGTCCCCTGGGCCGCCCGGTGGAGGGAAGCTGTCTGCTGATAACCCCCCCTTCCCCGGGGGTCTCGGCCCCCCCGTACCCCAACGCTGCGGCCGCCGGCGGGGGCGGCGGGTGGAGTCGAGCGGGAGGGGCGGCGGCGGCGGGGGGCGGCGGGCACCGGCGGCGGCGGCGGCTGCGCCGCGGCGGGAGCGGAGCTGGGAGCCGGAGCGGAGCTGGAACCGGGACCGGGGCTGGGGTTGGAACGGGAGCTGGAACTCGGATGGAGACTGCGCCGCGGCGGCGGCGGCTGGAGCGGAGTCGGGGCTGGGACTAGACCCGGGACCGGGATCAGGACGGGGACCGAGGCTGGAATCGAGACCGGATTCGGGACCAGGGCTGGAACCGGAACCGAGACCGCGTCCGGGGCTGAGGTTGGGGCTGCAAGCGGGACGAGGGCTGCGCTGCGCTGCCGGCGGCTCCGCGGCACCGGTCGGCACCGGCAGCGTAGGGGAGCGAATCGGCCGGTCCTGCCCTGCCTTCTCCTGCCTTCGTCTCTCCTGCCCACCCTCCTCCCCCGCTGCCCACCCTCCTTCCCCCCCCCCCCTCCCCCCTTTCTCCCCGCCAGCTGCGCCCTGAGCCCGGTGCAGCGATGGGCTGAGGGTGCCGGGCACCGCGGGGCCCCGGCGGCAACAGGATGAGGAGGGGCTCGGAGGGCAGCGGGGAGGGCGAGGGGCTCTCGAGCCTGCGGGCCTTCGCCCACAGCTCCTCACTGCACGGCATCAGCCACGTCTTCGCCTACGGGGCTGTGTCCCTGCGCCGCGTGCTCTGGGGCGGCTTTTTCTTGGGCTCGCTGGGGCTGCTGCTGCTCGTGTGCGCCGAGCGCGTCGCCTACTTCCTCACCTACCCTCACGTCACCAAGCTGGACGAGGTGGCTGCCCGCAACCTCACCTTCCCGGCCATCACCATCTGCAACCTCAACGAGTTCCGCTTCTCCAAAATCACCCGCAACGACATGTACCACGTGGGCGAGCTGCTGGCGCTGCTCAACGAGCGCTACGAGATCAGCAACCCGCAGCTGGCTGAGCCCCACGTCCTGGCCGCGCTGCGCGACAAGGCCAACTTCAAGAACTTCAAGGCGAAGCCCTTCAGCATGGCCGAGTTCTACAACCGCACGGGCCACGACCTGGCCGACATGCTGCTGCAGTGCTCATTCCGTGGCACCGGCTGCACTGCCCACAACTTCACCGTGGTGAGTGCCAAGAGGGTATGGAGGGCACCCACCGTACGCGCCGGGGCTGCAGAGGGACAGGGGAGTCCTGCTGGGGCCAGACACCGGCAGGTGAACCCCCTCTCTCATCCCACTGCCCTCAGCACCATTGGTCCCTATCCACATTCCTGAGCACCGCGGAGAGATCCCGGTGTCCTGCCAAGGTTAGGCACCTCTGGGTGAGCCCTTTCACCCATCCACAGCACTGTGAGCCCCTGCCCAGCTCTCTGGGTACAGCAGCTGCCAGCCAGTGGTGCCCCCACCCGGGGTGCTGCAGGGGTGCCAGGCGGCTGGGAATGGTGTCCAGAATGGAGCGGGGCTGTGCTGGGGACTGTGCTGTGCTGCCTAGGGGTCTCTGCTGGCATGCAGGGACTGGGCAGAGGTGGTGGTGGGCACAGCATGCTCATGGGTACAGGATGCTCAGGATTATGGGGTGCTCACAAGTGTGGGATGCTCACCTGTGTGGGGTGTCACTTGTACAGGTTGCTCACAGGTGCAGCTCCCACCACCTGTGCCAGCCTCAGGTGACAGTGGGCACTGCCATTAGCAGCTGCTGGCCTGAGTGTTGGCACAGAGGCTCCCATGGGCAGCTCTTCCATGCCTGGCATGAGTGGGGGTCCCTGTGCCAGCACCCTGTGGGCACGCCCTACTGCTGCCTCCAGCACCCTTCACCACTACCTCCAGCACCCCCATTCCTGACCCACCCCCACTGCAGCCCCCAGAACGGGACACGGACAGTGGTACAGGCAGGGATGATGACACTTGCGTGACAGCAGGGTGGACAGGGGCAGTGGCATGGGCGGGACAGGCACTGATGGTGTCCCTCCTGCCACAGTAGCACCAGGCAGCAGGGTGCTGTGGGTGCTGGGCAGCTCATGTGCACCATGCCAGCTCTGCCCAGTCACATCAYTGTCCCCAGCAATTAATGCTCTTAGAGCACTAATTAATTCTCCATGAAGCTTAGGGATGAGCCGTCTTTCAACAGGTCCGTGCGTCTCTCTGCCTCCCATGCTCCCTGTGCCCCACCATGCTCCCTCCATTCCCCCCATGCCCCGATGCCCTCGGCCAGAGCTGCTCTGCCAGTGTTCCTGCAGCAGGGCCAGGTGATGGCCACTGGATTCAATGGATTCTGGATTCCAGAACATGTGGCGGGAGGGCTGAGGGTCCCCAGGCCAGGACTTGGGGTGGGTGACACGTGCCTGGTTGAGCAGCAGCATCCTGGCTCTGCCCCCCAAAATCCCCAGCCTCAGCCAGCCTTAGTYCTGGATTGGGATCCTGTGCACTGGGCCATGGTGCTGAACTCTGGCACTGTGTTCCTGCACCTTGTCCCAACCTTGGCCGCAGTGTCCCTGAGGTTCCTGGACATGTGGTGAGGGCCCGAGGGCCATCGGGGGGAGCTGTGTCCTGTCCTGCTTCCCCCAGGGCCAGTGGGATGGGGCAGGATGGGGGTGTGGGAACAGGGGATCAGSAGAGAGCAGGGCTGTGGGTCCCTGCGTGACCTCGAGTGTGGAGYGCAGGAGGAGGAGTGGCAGTGCTGGGGCCATGTCCCCATCCCTGTCCCCACCCATGGCCCCCCCCAGCATCCCCATGCCGGGCAGCCGTTGCCATGACACCCGCCCCCCCCTTTCCTCCTTGGGCACCACATTACCATGGCAACGGGTCCCCACTTTGGGAGCAGCTGGTTGCCACAGCAACGCCCCCTCCGCTCCCCCCGTGGGACAAAACCCCCGGGGCGGGGGGGCACCTATAGCAGGGGGGGCCATGACGCCATGGGACCAGTCTGGGGGCTCAGGGTCATCCCAGGGTCCCTGGCTGTGGGTACTGCTCCCTGGGAACTCAAGGTCACCCTGAAGTTCCTGGCTGGGGGTGCAGGTCCCTGGGGTGGCTGGTCCAAGACAGGCTCTCAGGTTCTGGAGGGGACACGGTGGCCTCTGCTCCTGTGACAAAGGAGTCCCGGTCCCCATCACCGTCCTGGCTTGTGCCCTCCCATCTCGAGTGTCCCCACGTGTTCCCTGGAGCCGTCACGAAACCCAATATCCCTGCAGAGCCGCGGCAGCGCAGGTGCAGGCACCATCACCGTCCTCGCCTTGTCCTGGGGCCACTGGCGTTCTGTGCCAGGGTACTGGGATCTGTCCGGGGTCCTGTAGACCATTGGGATCCCGTCCTGGGGCACTGGGATTCTGCTCTGGGGATACTCGGATCCTGCCCTGGCTCATGTGGGGCACTGGAATCCCATTGCCACATCCCCAAGTATGCCCCTGTGTCCCCACGGGGTCCCCACAGTGGCAGTGAATGCCCCGTCCCTATGTCCCTGTGGGGTCCCTGCAGTGGCAGTGAGAGCCCTGTCCCGTGTGTGCCCCGTGTCCCTGCAGATCTTCACGCGCCTGGGGAAATGCTACACGTTCAACCCGGGGGGGCCGGGGCGCGAGGTGCTGACCACGCTGCAGGGTGGCTCCGGCAACGGCCTCGAGCTCATGCTCAATGTGCAGCAGGAGGAGTATCTGCCCGTCTGGGGGGACACAGGTGAGACCCTGCCCATCTGGGGGGACATGGGGGAGAGCACTTGGCTGTCTGGGGGGTCCCAGGTGCATACTTATCCTTTTAGGGGGAYACAGGTGAGCATTTGGGGGGACCTGGGTGAGACCCCTGGGCCTGCATCTGACCCCTCTCCCCCTGCTCTGCAGATGAGACCTCGTTTGAGGCGGGGGTGAAGGTGCAGATCCACAGCC